CAGGCAGCATCAGAGGAGCAGGAGAGTCGATGTTTCAGGTCGGGATACTTCATGCGTCCTGATAAAGGGTCCTGACCTGAAATGTAGAATTTCCCGCTCTTCTGATGCTGCCTGACCTGCTGTGTTCCTCCAGCTCCACACTGTTTTCACTATACTTTATTTGTTCATCTGCCTTTTCATAGTCTGTAAAAGTCAGCCCAAGATCAGTTACCGCCACAGAGAGGGCAGAGAGTATAGATAGTTTGATTTAGCATTTATTTTGAAAGTTGGAGTCTTCAACAGTATTTTACTGGTGTGTCTATAACATTTTACCTTTCTAAGAGTCTTGAAGCCATCATGTTTTGGCTTAGAACCATGCATACAAAATGTAAATCGTTTACATTTGGTTGCTTCATAGGAGAAAAACCCTAAGCTTCAAGAGAGGATTTTCAGCTCTATATGAAAGTGGAAATAGAGGCAAGTGGGTATGTAATTCTGTGGAATGGGCCAGCATACTGGTTTGCTGGTACTACCCCATTTCCTGGAGGCTGGATTGAGTGTAGTGCGGAGCAATGGATAGATTGTTTTTTAACGTATCTGCAGAAGGTATTTGAAAAGTTGCCATACAAAATGTTATTACGCAAACTACGAGTTTATAGGGTAGAGGCTTATTATAATAGCATGGATAGAAGGTTGGCAAACAAACAAAGTAAGAACTGAAGGAGTTTGTGCTGTATTGGTAATTCAGTAGGTGTGTAGAGTGCCTGACACAGATGATCTGGGCATATGTATTCAAATCCCACGATAACAGTTTGTGAAAATTAAATTCAATTTTTAAAAATAAATGTGAAATTGAAGAGCTGGCCTAGTTATGACAAAGTGACCACTATCAATTGTTGTTAAAAACTTATCTGGCTTACTGCTTTTTCAGACAGAAGTCTATTATTCACAACTGGCCTGGCCTTAGTGTGACTCCAGACACACAGTCAATGTTGTTCACTTTTAAATATGTTTTTGGCAACCCCAAGTGGACAATAAATGTTAGCCTAGCCAGAAATGTTACATCCCATAAAATGGGTCTTTCTCAGATTGGCAGGCTGTGACAAGTGGGCTCCATTCTTTGTATTGGGCTGTCAAAATGTTACAATTTATATCAATGACTTGTTGAGGGGAACTAAGGCACGGTGGCTAACCTTGCAGATGACACAGAGACAGGCTGGAAAAATAATATGAAGGTGATAACAAGTCTGTAGAGAGAGCTGGAGTTCCATCCACAATTTAGCAATGAGCAAGATCTCTGCCCATTAATATGCCAACCCCAGCAAAGCATCTGCTGCGTGACTATAGTACTTTTAACACTGAATAGGGTGACAACTCAAGTTCAGTCTTATAAGACTGTGTATGAATCCAGCAAGTACTGCATGTTTCATTACAGTCATTATGCCATAAATGATCAGAGTTCTTTTGGTGTTTTATCCAGCTCACTACACCTTGTAGCAACAGCTGATTTGACTGGAAGCTCAACTGATGACAATGCAGGAAAAGAGAGCACTCTAGAAACAAGAGAGAGAATAGCAGAAATGGAGTTGTTATCATTTGAGGGATTTTATCTGAAAAGGTGAGTATAATCTAAGGGATCATGAGCCCTATGGCTGCTAATATGTGTTCTTGAAGTGTAATAATTTATTTAATGCAATTTAACCGATGTTATCCTAATAGAGATGCGAGAATTTACAGAAGCAGTTGTGGTTGAGAGCAGTGCAGAGCAGGAGGGTTCAGGTAGGATAAGAGCAGCAAGAGGTGGGTCAGCAAACTGGAAGATGCAGCGATGGGGAGAATGGATGTGGGTTTGGAAACGTGAGTCAGGAGGGGTATTGAACAAATGAAGGTTGGCGATTTGGGAGGGCATGGTCATAATGGGAGTGCGATGAATAGTGAATGGGTGCAAACTGAGGTAGATATAGAAAGATTTCATAACATGGAAGAATCATACAATATAAAAGGGACCCTTGGCCTGACAAAATTACTCTAAATCTACACTAGTCCCACTTTCCAACATTTGTCCCATACTCTTGAATACCTTTTCCCATAACTTAATTGTAAAGATACTTCTCTTACCTTACTTTTCTCTGACATTTACTTATTCCTGCTGCTTCTCAGTAAATCTCTTAAAAATATTTCTCCTTTTTTAAATTACAGTTATTTTTAGGATTTGTCCCTAAAGATAGAGTGTTGACAGATAATTAACTCACCGTTTTCCTGTGACATAACTCTGATTATTTTCTCAGTTTGGTTCGGAGCAGCTGAACGAGTGAAATGGGTGTGTGTCTTAGGTAGCTGACTCCAGTTCCTGGTAAGTAGCCTTCCAAATGTAGGTCATGTACTTTAGTAAGAAGATTTTTGAGACAGTTAGCTTCAAGGCAGTAAATAGGCTTTAATTGTAAAAATTACGGATCAGGAACCTAAACCATCCTTAATACATATTTAATTGTGGGAAAGTAATTTCCATTTAGCATTTTATTTTAGAGTATACATCAAAATGCTAGAGAGGGGGCTATAAAGCACTTTGTGATATCCTGAAGCAATCTAAAGCACTGTATCAATGTAAGCTCTCTCCTATATATAGACTGAGTTTCTGAAGTGCTCACAAGATTGAAACATAGCTTAACAGTTAACAAACTACTGCAAAGCCAAATTTTAGGTTAGAATGCGTTGTTTTACTAAGTTTATACACGTTACCTCTAATCATCAAGGTCCATGGGGAGGCCTTAGAGAACATTGACGACTTCCAATAGCCAAAGCAGCTATTGATGAAGAGATCCAGCAGTATCTCCAGTGTCCTAGTGCAGTAATCGGCCGCCTGAGGAAAAGGGTATTCGAGGGCAACAACATCAGATCTGACACCCAAGATCACAGTTGACATAAGGTTCCCATCCTCCTACATGGGTCTGAGATGTAGACTGTCTACAGCAGACACCGCAAGACGGTGGAGCGGTACTATCAATGCTGCCTGTGCAAGATCCTGTGAATCCACTGGGAAGAAAGACACACCAACACCAGTGTCCTTGACCATGCAAACAGCACCGAGGCACTGACCACCTTGACCGGCTGCGATGAGGCTGGGCACGTCGTCCGCATGACCGACACAATACCCCCCCAAGCATGTGCTCTACTCTCAGCTCCAAAATGGCAGGCAAGCACCACGTGGACAGAGGAAGTGCTTCAGTGATACCCTGAAGGCCTCATTGGCAAAGTGCTGCGTTCCCACAGACACCTGGGAATCACCCAAGGCCATCCAAAGTGAAGGGTGAGCATCCGAGAAAGTGTCGAGCGCCTCAAGGCTTGCTGTTGGGAAAAAGCAGAAGCCAGGCAAAAACAGGACAAGGAGTGCACGGCCACACCAACGGCACATCCATCCCTTCCCATGACCACCTTCTGCCCCAGGTGTAACAGAGTCGACAGGAGGTAGCATCAGTCTGTAAAACCACCGACGGACTCACCCTGAGAGTCGAAGAGAGTTATCCTCGTTTGCGAAGGACCACCAGTGATGATGCACATTACTTAAACAATCCTTTGCTGGCTAGGTCGAAATGAATATGAACCGTTTTATTTGTTTCTACTGGTGGCACACATCACACATTATTTTGATATTGGTGCATGCAACAAATTTCACTCCACTACATGAAAAGAAATTCAGAAGGAACATTGATCAGGGTTTTGTTATGCACATGGCATCTGCTCTGTTTAGTTTCTCAAAATACTGCTGTTTCAGTCCGTAGATCATTCTGGAAGAACTCTTTTACCTTACAATCTACAACTTGACTTATAAACCCATTCTCTGAATAGCATAATAAATCTTCATTTCCTTCCAGTTCCCTCGACATAATCACATACATTCGCACCTTTATACATTTTGATTATCCATACCGCTAATGTAATCCTATTTCTCTAAAATCACAATCTGCATTTAACCCTGAGGCCTGGGTCCTAAGGAAAAATTCTAGCTATACAATTGCATTGATTCTGTAGCTAGAACAGTGCTGAAGTATGTTTCCTCTTGAAATAAATTCATATTCTTTACACAAGTTGCTTCAGAAACATTACATTAGTTTCTACATAGCTGCTCCTATTGAGAAACCCGGGTGCAGTGCAGAGAGGAAAATTAAGCTGGAAGCTGTCTTGCCTGTAATGGAACCAAACCAATTTCTGTCCATTTTTAAATTATGAGAAAACTGAGCAAGGTCCTTTCTGGGAAACTGACTTTACCACTTGCATTTAAAGGTCCCATGCTGTGTGTATCAGACAGGCAGATTGATCAAACTACCTGCCTGATGTCTCCCCGAGGTTAAAATAGACTCCAGTTAGATATAAAACTACTCATGCCTTCACTGACAACATCACAATGATTAATCCCTTGCTGTGTACCTTATCAAACATTAAGGACATAAAACACACTGACAGTTAACATCATCACTGATAGCACAAAATATAAATGAAAATTTAAACAGTGAATCTTAACAGAAAGCAAGGAATGATTTCAGAGTTATAGAGCAACGTTCAGACAATGGTTACAAAACCACTTCGCGGTCCAATTTATAATGTTATTGAGTCTCTTACTTAGACCACTATCTTGTAATGACTTGCATTCATCCTCTTTGCAGCCTAAACAGAATCTGTGATGTACAGACATCTGACATTATACTTTGGGCCTTTTCTTAGAACTTTTTGCTCATGGCAAGAAATACACTTCCCATGTCTTTTACCAGCTAAAACTTGCATCTGGATTGTCTGCCAGTGTGTGTGTAATGTAGTTCAGGTGTAACCATCACAGTGATTGTCGATGGTTTATTGGAGAATCATTGAAATACCTAGTATGTTGTCCTTTTGCCTCAGAAAAATAGTACAGAAACAAACCAATACATCATGCTGATTTAATTACAGATATGTTTATGTACATAAATAGGACATTTAGTAAAGACCACCACAAGGATTAAAATAGTCCAAACAGATATTTAATAGGCTGTTTAAAGCAAAGATACTAGTCGAGAAATTTGCCCTACATCATTTTGCGGCAGTATTATCAGGAATGAATTAACGTCAAACTGAAAAAAAAAACGGATATCAGGTAAATGTTGAATGAAATAGTTCAAAGATGGGCTTACAGAAGTATATTTCAATACAGAATGAAGAAGAGGTATAGCGAGAGAATTCAAGAGTTTGGGGCTGACACAGGTGAAGGCAAGGATACCAATTCAGGGGAGAAAGCAGAGGCAGGGAGTCATAGAGGGGTGGTTGGAGGATAGTTGTACAAAAGCTGAAGCTGAATGACTTATGTCAAATGGCTGTTATGCAATACACATTTAAGAGACAGTTTCATAATATCATCTTCTGATTATAACATGTAACCTGAGGATATAAAGTTCTCAGACACCACTTTGACTAGGGACTCTAAAATCATAGTCATAATGGAAATGCATTACTCTGTGTAACCAAGTGATTACTATTGTCCCAAACACTGAAATGCCTGTGTTTACAATAAATAGATAGATTCTTGATCAGTAGATGAGTCAAGGAATACAGGATAAGTCACAGGAAAATGGATACGAGGAATATCTGATTAGTCAAGTTCTGTTCTTATTTCTTATGATCACATGTTCTAATATGTATATACCAGGGCCTGTAATAAATATCTATGGAATCTTTCTTTTACTTGTTTGCTTTTCCTGCTTTCAGTTCTTTTTACCCCCTCTTTTGCTTCACTGTCATCTTGCTTTTCTTTTACTGTACCAGCTCCTTTACTGAGTTTTGATTATTTCGGGACTGTTCATTTAAGGAATACAGGTTTATAGTAGCAGGGTTCAGACATGAAATGATGTTTACTCCAAAAAAGATATGATGATATCACATAGGTTTTCTTTTGTACTGAAGCTAAATTGTGGAGACAAAATAATATAACCAACCTCTGTACACAGATAAGATTACTTAATCTAGAAAACAACATTTTAATGCTTTAGGAGCTTTATTTTCAATCAGAAGGACTCTGTACTTAAGCTGGGAGGAACTTCTGACTGTGTTTTTTAATATTTTAAAGCTGTAAGAATTTTTAGAATTTGAAATAGAAAAGCAAGTTGTCAGTTTGTTTTATTTTCAAAAAAGAGACAGGGCTTCTAGTTTGACAGAACTTGCATTTAATCAGAATGTCTTCTGCCATTTAGTTTGCAGATATGTACTCACAAAATTAGTGCTGTTATCTTTCCGAATGCTTTGAAATCCACTCCTATCCTCTCGCTGATCTACAGTAAGCATTCCAAGTATCTGCTATTGAGAACTCGGTTTCTTTCAGAAGTGTCCACTGCTGTTTATCATTGTGCTGTCATCATGATGTGCCACTATGGCATAGGCTTTTGCCTAGCAGCTTATTCTAACAAGGAGAACTGTAAAATTAAACACTTTATCTTTGTTTCTTTATTTTTCTGCCTTTATATTCTATGTTTTGGTTTATTTTTCTGTGTTTTAAGATGGCGATGGAGAGTGGTGACTCTATACACCACTTTTCACTGTATTTTGTAAAAAAATACATGTGATAATAAATAAATCAAATCAAGTCAAATCAAATCAAATCAAATATCTGATAGAGTAAAAATTATGATAGCTCCCATCGTATAAGAACTAGATGTGGGTAATGCAATTCTGAAAGATTCAACAGATGTTTATTACAGTTCATAGTATAAATATACATTACAGTCATAGGCACAGGCACATCAGCATCTGGGTTAATACTATGCTGTTTAATTGTAAACAGTAGCACTCTTCAGTCAGTTTGTCATACTTCAGCTGGCCCCAATTAAGGTGGAGTCTGAGACCTTTATATTCTCAGTCGCATGGTGATGAGAGCATGAGCATGTCTGTTAAAGGCAGACTACATACTAATCGTGAGATCTAACGTAACAGAAGGAATTCAGATTTTGCCAGGACAGGAATGTTAACACAAAGGGTATTATCATTTTACATCCTTTACTATGTTTTTCACCCTGGCCACTGACTCACTTTTAGCCTTCTTAAACCAACAGTTGTATAAACATCACAGCATAACTCGAATTCTAACTTTCTAAAAGTTAGTTCTAAAATAAACTTTCCTTTGCAGTAATGCTCTAGTTGTAGATATGCTACACTTTCCTTGACTAGTATTCTTATTCCCTGTTAATCTATCTTCCTGCAGGAGAAAATGCCTCAAATTGCTTGCAAGAGGGAGGTGAATAGAGGACTGGTCTGCAGTCGGTAACAGCTCTCACAATATAAAAATACCATAATCTCTTCGCACTCACAAAATCTCATTTTGTGCAATATGTGTCCCTCATCAACCTCTGATATCCTGCCTTCCATACAATAAAACTATATATAGTGCACTTAATGCAGACCCTGTAGACTTAACTTTCTTGCACTTAACTTCCTACAGTGAGTGAGTTTGTAGGATGAAATAAGAATTTTCTTGATAATTCATTAGAATTAAATATTATGCACACATTTATATTGTTTCTCTCCTTTCTTGACTTGCTGATTTTTCTGGACTCCTACTACGTTTTTAGCAGACTGCAATTCACTGCAGTGCATATTTTCACATCCAGGCGATTTAGTGTGATATTGACAGGGTCACAGTAAATCTGATCTGACAACATTTGTGTCTGATAATGCACAGTATAGTTTTCTGAGCTGGGAAACAAGTAGAATAGGAAAACATCGCAGATTATTTGATGTACGTTTGTTCCTGGGATATGAACATCATTGACAGGCCAGCCTTTTTTGCTCCTCCCTAAATACTCTTGAGAAAGTGGTGTGATATTTATTGGAAATTAAGGTCCACTTAAAACTGATTTTTTTTCTTATATGTCCTGTTTAGCATGGGATCTCATGCAACTGTTATTACAGCAATTCCTTGATTTCCTTCAGACATAAACAATTTGTAATGAACAAGACAGAAGGAAAGTGACAATAAATTTGAAGTTACATTGTTGCAAATTCTGCTGTCAAGGAGCGATCTGATTCCCTCTGTACCTTATTATTAGTGCTGTATTTCAGAAAATAAATGTTACTTATTTCCAAAAAAGAATGAAAACAAATCCTCAGCTGAAACTGGGCAAGTGAAGAATGGCTGTTCTGTTATAATGAGTAGCTGATCCTATGAACATTGGCTGAAAGGGTTCAAATGAGTGATTGACACAGCATAAATTATCAGCCCCTAGAAATTGGGCTCATCAGTAAATGTCCATGGTCAAACTGCAGTCCTCATCAGAATGCTGACTTCTTTAGATAGGAGCCTGACCAGAAGAAATTGAAGGAGACTCAGGGAAAATAAATGTTCCTAACACTTTGATACAGAGCAAGATGCTGCTTTCACAATTTTAATAATATCTCTACATTCCGTACCAACTGTCTATTTATCTTTGGATATTAGTGAACCATCTCAATTGTCCTGGGTTGTATGTATTTTTGTCGAATGAACTAATGCAGTATATCTAAATTTATTAAACAATCTGAAAATTCCTTATGCACGTTTAACAGTACACACAGACTCCAAAAATCTGACAGCTGCCTTCTTAAGATACTCCATCCATAAGTGTAGGGATGCAAATAGCGTTGTTAGGAAGAAAGTTCTAGGATATACTTTACTCTTTCCTGGGATGAGTGCTTCTGTCTGGTGCAGCATTAATTGTCTATCACTAATGGATGACAGGGCAATTAAGATTTAGCCATATTGCTGTGGAATTATACATTGTTCAGACCAGGAAAGGACATCAAATGATTGAACCCGAAAGATTTTAAGGACAGTTAGCAATCATTTGATGGTTTCCAGCTAGCTTTTAATTCCAGACTTTTCTTTCATTGAATTCAAATCTGTTCTGGCAAGATTTGAACTCATATCCCCAGAACATTAGCCTAGCATTCTGGATTACTAGGAGACAATAAAGGGCTGTAAATGCTGGAAGCCTGAGTCTTTCAGTGTGAAGCTGGAAAAGCACAGCAGATCAGACAGCATCTGAGGAGCAGGAAAGTCACTGTTTTGGGCCAAAACATTGACCTTCCTGCTTTTCAGTTGTTGTCTGACCTGCTGTGCTTGTCCAGCCTCACACCTTTAGATTCTGGATTATTAGTCTGGTGACATTATCACTTCCATTCCTTAAAGACGGTGAAGGAACAATAATGTAGTTCCAAGTCATGTTTGTAGGGGAACTTGCTGGTGGTGTTCCCATTCATCCGGTTTGTCCTTCTAGGTGGCAGGGGTCACAGCACTGGATGGTGATTTTGAAAGAATTTTGAAACCTTGCCACAGTATTCTAACTTTTAGTACATACTGTAGTACCATATGCTGCTGGGGAAGAAAGTGAATGTTTAAAGTGGTTGATAGAGCACTGAGCAAGCTTTGTCCTCTGTGTTTTTGAGCTCATTGAATGTTGTTGATTTTGTCATCGTCCAGATAAGGGAGAAGCATTCACTCACATGCCTGACTTTGTCTTGTTAGGGAGGAAACGGGCTTTGTGGTGTTAGGAGATGAATTAGTATAGAATTTCTGGCTTCAGATTTGCTCTTGTGGTAATTTTATGGCTGGTCTCCTTAACTTTCTGATCAAGGTAACTCCCAGGACATTAATGATGGGAGATTTGCTGATAGTAACGCCATTGAATGTTAAGGTGAAATGGCTAGATCTTCAGTTGTTGGGAATGATCATTAGTTGGCATTTGTGTGATGTGAATATTATTTGCCAGTTATCCGCTCCAATCTGAATATTCTCTGGGTATTCCTACATGTGGGTATCAAACATTTATTTATATCATGATTGAGAATGGAATTGAACACTCAATCATTAGCGAACATCCCCTCATCAAACTTATAACGAAAGAAAGGTCATTGGCAAAGCAGGGTGAAGATGTTTGGGCCTAGGATACTACACTGAAGAATTCCTGCAGTAATATCCTTCGGGAATTGCTGATATGAGTTGAAACATCCAACTGAAATGAGCCAATAGCACAAACCTGGGATGATGAGTTCCTGTTAAGCCACTCGATCCACTCAATCCATTGAAACAGCTGTTAAGTATTGATATAGAACAGAGACCAATAGGTGTCCAGGTACTATTGACATCAGGGTTAAATAGAGATAGTGTGGTGAAATCGCATTGAAGTAGATGAACCATAATGATCTCGAATGGTGAAACAGCCTCTATGGCCTGAATGGCTGATTCCTGCTCCTATGTTCCTAACACTGGGTGCACCTTTTCTTAGGCAAAAAGACAAAGAAACATTGGGCTGCCCAATGTCATGAACAACAAGTGAGAATGATCGCATGTCAAAAGGATACAAATAACAGAAAATGGAATCATGAAAAAAAGGAAATATCTAAAATATTTTCATATTACAAACCTTAATGAATATACATTTCAGTCCTTGTTTTGGGCAGCATGGTTGTCCAGTGGCTCAGTGGTTAGCACTGCTGCCTCACAGAACCAGGGACTTGCGTTCAGTTCTGGCCTTGGGTAACTGCCTGTGTGGAGTTTACACATTCACTTCGTGTCTGCGTGGGGTTTCACTGGGTGCTTTTGTTTCTTCCCATTGTTCAAAGATCTGCAGATAAGGTGGATTGGCCATGCTAAATTTCCTTGCAGTGAGCAAGCCAGGGGCTTTAGTCATGGGATATGGGGTGGAAACTGGGTGGGGCGTTCTTTGTTGCAGACACAATGGGCCAAATGGTCTCTTTCCACTCTGTAAGGATACTATATATCTACAGATGAAAACTATAATTTATTGAATGATAATGTGGTCTTTCCAGTGAGCCTGGGCAGGGACAAAACCTATGAACTGAGGCAGGTAACCCAGAGCCCTCCACTGGCCAAGTTCAACCTGGATCTAAAGACTGCAGCACACCAAAAACAGAGTTCAGACATTTGGGAGAAATGAATGAGAACTGAATTTCTCTTTGCTATCTCAGTTCACTTGTGAGAACTCAGTTGGCCTCCTGTCTGCAAACCATAACATTGTATTACAATATGGAAGTGAAAAGGTGACAGATGTACAAGGCCTCTGAAGTCATGTGTGAAGTGAGGAAATTACAATCTCAGAAAGGCGATATCAGTTCATACGAATGCTGTTCATTTAATTAAAACCCAGAAATACATAACCTAAAGCTTAGCTGATGGACAGTTACAAAAGGTGAATTTTAAAGGCAGTGTTGCAGTCTCAGGCAACATTTTGTGCAGAACAGTGGTTTTATACATCAGCAGCATGGGTGTTGTACATAAGTGGCACAGTGGTTAACACTGCTGCCTCACTGCACCAGGGATCTGGGTTTGATTCCACCCTCAGATGACTGTGCACGTTGTGTTTCCACATTCTCCCCATGTCCAAAGATATGCCAGTTAGGTGGATTAGCCATTGGGAAATGCAGGATTATAGGGATAACGTGAAGTGGTAGGTCTGGGAGTGACGCTCTTTGGAGGGTTGGTGTGGATTCAATGGGCTGAATGGCCTGCTTCCACACAGTAGGAGTTCTTTGAACAAGGAATTGAAAGTGTCAGTAGGTAAATCCTCAGTGATCTGACATCAAACTTCAGTTTTCTTCCTCCTTTGCTTGGGTTTTCAGCTGTTTTAAGAGAAATTGTTTCTTGGTAGTGACAGGAGTAGGCCAAGAAGCTACCCTAAAATTGAAGACGCATGTGATCTCAGATATAAGGCCTTATATGACCTCGAGTGATCCTGTATGGTTGAGCAAAACTCCCCAGTATTTAAAATGCTGGACAAAACTCTGGACCTTTCCATTATCTAAAATACCAGAAAGAACCCTGGTCTTTTCCATTTTCTAAAATACTGGACAAAACCCTGGACGTCTTAAAACTTTTAAAAGGTAAAAGGGACAGCTGGGCTGAGTTCTATGGAAAATACACAAAAATAACTCTCAAAATGGAGAAGTGCAGGAAATGCAAGAGATGCGGTTGAGGGCATTTTTGATTACCCGAGGGGGGATGTTGCGATCCTTGAACGAGGACTCAATATGCCCTGAACCGCACCTCTTACATTTCCTGCTCTTCTGCCCTCAAACCCCCTCCCCACAACAAAAATAAAGACAGAATCCCCCCCTCCCAGCCTCCCATACCACCCCACCAACATATCCGCATCCAACATATCATCCTCCGTCACTTTTGCCACCCACAATCCAACCCCACAGCCAAAGAGATATTTCCCTCCCCACCCCTATCTACCTTTTGTGGGGACCTCTCACTCTGCGACTCCCTCGTCCGCTCTGATATATCAGAATTCAAACGTATTAACAACTTTTAACATAACTCCATAAATCATGTCTATTAATCCATTAACTCACTAAATCGTGGTTATAATACTAACTGCAGATTTCCATGTACTAGCCAGCCCCTATTCAAACTAATTCAGGGGTTCCCTACTGTATCAGACTACAACCACTACAATTTGTGGTTACACCCCACTTGAAAGTGCACGCATACATAATGCGCTATGTAAAAAATCCCATTTAAACAAGACCGACATTCCATTCAAAGGTGCAGTCAGGTGTGATGGCTAACAAAACTACACAGACACTACAGGATGGAATCTTTTTGCACCCCCACACCAAAAATGCTGTTATTTAATATTAAAATACAACTGAATAGCTGCTATTACCAAGTCGTTTATCTTCTCCCTCCAGCTAGACTAACTCCGAGTATCAGTCAAAGGTGATAATTGGTTAGCCCTGCAGACTTTTCCTGTATACTATGTAGCTAGGTACATGTCCCAAGTTTTTATTCAACATGTATATAAAACTTTACCCCACTAACAGAACTAACAAACGCTATGCAGCGTATGTAAGCAACCTTTAACTTACTAATAAAACTAATGGCACTGTCCAGACCCACGCAAACTTGAATGAATGAATAATAGCAAATAGAACGCACAGATGGACACAACCATGAAGCTAACTAAACAAGACTAACACCTTTTGAATTATGCAAGGACAAATCAGACAGACACTCTAATCTCATTAAAATAACCATTAACACTCAACAATAACCGATAACATTTAGCACACGTTTAAACCATCGCCGATTTCCTGCAAAACAGTTTTTGTACATGGGCCCAAGCTATGCCTACCTGTTTGTAGGTTATGTAGAACAATCCCTCTTCCGTACCTACACTGGCCCTAAACCCCACCTCTTCCACCATTACATTGATGACGGTATCGGCGCCGCCTCGTGATCCCACGAGGAGCTCGAACAGTTCATCCACTTCACCAACACCTTCCACCCCAACCTTAAGTTCACCTGGACCATCTCTGATACCTCTCTCTCCTTCCTGGACCTCTCTGTCTCCATCTCCGGCAAACACCTAGAAACCGATATCCATTTCAAGCCCACCGACTCCCACAGCTACCTAGAATACACCTCCTCCCACCAACCTTCCTGCAAAAATGCCATCCCCTATTCACAACTCCTTTGCCTCCGCCGCATCTGCTCCCAGGATGAAGCATTCCACTCCCGTACATCTCAGATGTCCTCGTTTTTCAAGGATCGCAACTTCCCCCCCC